TCACCCTGCAAATTCCAGTTCAAATGCCACCTCCTCGGCCTCACCCTTACTCCACGGGCATTTTACCAACTTCCCTAGGCATATTGTTTTAGTCTGCAAACTGTGTCTTATCTTTCAGCTCCCCAATATTCCCTTGCCTAATTTATTTTCTTATTTAAACAAACCATAGCTGGTATGTATTTTGTATAGCATTACTTGGGACTCAAAACACATGTAAGCTTTCCTTAAGTTAGTAGATATCAAAGGAAATTTGGGGTCAGAATAAATCAAATGTTAATATTTAGAGAATGTGAATTTATCATACTTAGCTAAAGTTTATAGTAAAGAAATAAGAACAAAGACTTGCCATTTCCCCCTTTTTCAAACCCTTCACAACCTGTGATCATAGAGTACCAACCTTCTTTCTATCAAGCTAACTCTTAGTTCAAATGTGTTACATCTTGTTTTAAATCAGTTTCAATTCTATCCAAACTCAAAATGCCAAAGCAGATCTGAATTGAAAAACTACTGTGTGATATGTGCATATATTTATTTAAAAGAAACCATAATTTGAACAGATTATTAAAATGGACCTAATCTACCCAATAATGAATGTTTGCTTTTTTTTGGCATCTGAATTTTTATGCATCATAGCATGTGTTTGCCATTTTGATCAGAAGGAATGGAGGATATTTTTGAGATCAGAATTCTTAAACAAGACTATCCAAACATGAGCAGGACTTTTAGGAGTTTCCAAGAATCTCTTATCCACATCCCAAGATTAAAATAAGATAGACCAGACCACCATACCTCAGAACTTACTTCTATTCAACAAACATTTTTGAGTGCCAACCAAGAGCCAACTAGTGGGGGCAAAAATACATGTGTCATAGTATCTGTCTTTAAAGCCTTCACCTTCTAACAAGGGAGGAGAAACTTATAGTACAAGGCACACACTTAAGAATAGAAACCAGCCATAGCATATATTTTTGAATAGATGGTTTCTTTTTATTTTGCTTTGTAACCATCTATACTTTATAATTATTCATTTCTTTTTGAGGTAAGTTTGCATTGTAATAGCATATAAGTTTCAAGTACACATCATTCTAAATCAACATGTGGCTAGAATACATTAAGTTTACCACTAAAATCCAAGTCTACCCTTCACCCTAAAGTTGAAGCCTTTTACCTGATCTCATCCTTTTGGGAACAGTTGGTCTGAAAGTCTAAAAGTTTCATAAAAGTTTTAGTCCATAAAAGATTTGTGTTTCTCGCATTCACTTCACTTAGCATAATCCCCTCCAGCTCCATTCATATCACTGCAGATGGCAAGATTTCATCTTTATTATATAGCTGCATAGTGTTCCACTTCTTTTCTCCTCATCTGTGGGTGCGCACTTCGGTCATTTCCATCTCTTAGCTACTGTAAATAGTGCTGCAGTGGACACCTGAATCTGTCCCTTCAAACTGGTGTTTTTTGAATCAGTATTTTTCAGATAATTTCTCTTTCTCCTCATATTATTTCCACAGACTTTCCTGTCTCTTATAATAGTGACATTTTTTGGAGAATACAGCCCTCCCCAGCTCCCGCCCCTTTTGGAAACCCAGCTCCTCGCTAGCTGACTCTGCTGTGGCTAGCCCGAACGGACATGTTCTAGGCTGCAGCACTGCTCGCTCAAGAAGGCACGTCAGGAGTGCGATGGCTGTCTTTCCTTACTGGTGATGTTAGTTTTGATCACCTGGGCAACGCTGCCCAGTTTCCCCATGGGGCAATTACTCTTCTACTCCTGCAACCAATAAGCAGTCTAGGTTGGGGGGGGGGGTAAAAAGATCTTGGGAATATCCCATTTCACATCAAAATGCCCAACTCTCAAGCCTAGTGTCCTTTTGGGATTCTGGCCAGATCCAACCTTTGCTATGAAGATTAAAAAACAATTTCCTAACTCCAAGTCCCCCTCTGTATTCACCAGCACTCCCTCTAGTATGCATTTTTGCATTTTGCAAACATTTATTAAGTTCTTTTTATGTAGTGACCACTATGCTGGGTGCCGAAAGTGGAACAACAATGGAAGTGGAAGAGGAAACTCCACTGTCTTTGCCCTCTTGGAGTTTTAAAGACAAATATTAATCAGATGTGTGTACTGGCTGGGTGAAATGTCTTGAAGGAAAGGCTCTTGTGTCTGTTAGAACATATGAGAAAGAGACAGGCCCGGTGGAGGCAGGAGGAGACCGCCCTGAGGAAGCAGATATCTAAAGAGCACATAGGACTTGGCATCAGGGGCAGCATTTCTGGAAGAAACAACAGCATGGTGGAGAGTTCGTGATGTATTAGGTGAGCTAAAAGAGGGCCAGGGAGAAAGCACAGAGGAAGGACAGAGACATACATGAGACTGAAAAGTATCACCTGGGCCTCTGATGCCACAAATGATTGGGAGTTTTCTCCTTGATAAATAGAAAGCCCTTAAAGGGTTTGGTGCTCTATGTAGAGAATAAATCTGCATTCTGAAAAGATTATCCTGACTGAGAAGAAGGGTAACAGGAAGAGATTTTATGTTAGTCCAGATAAGATCTAATGCTCACTTGGGCCCCCAACTACCACAGTGGGTATGAAGAGAAGCAGATGTGCTCAGGAAATATGGAAGAGGTGAAATAAAATTTGATGACGGGCTAGACACAGGGGTAAGGAAGGGCAAAGGCATCCAGAATGATGCTGGGTGTCTGATCGGATGGACAGTGGCACCATTTACAGAAAGAAGAAACATCTTTAGTTTCTGGAACACCACGTTCAGCTTGCTTCTTTTCTGCTTTAGGGCTACTCATATTCTCTTCTTTCTCACCTACTAGGCCATTACATATCAGCATTCCTTAAGAAGAAATGGTGGGGGAGGCCAAGGATGAGTTTTCAGTTTTAGAAAACATGTCCAAGTGAAGCTGTCAAGTAGGCAAATAGACATAAAGTTCTGGTACCAGAGGAAAAGTCTGGATTGGAAACATAAACTTGGAAGTAACTGGAATGTTGAGATTCCAGCTCTGGACATGGATAAAACTGTCCATGAAAGGGTTTCAAGAACCACAGCAGGTCTATTTTTAATCCTTAAGGAATGCTGATATGTAATGGCCTAGTAGGTGAGAAAGAAGAGAATATGAGTAGCCCTAAAGCAGAAAAGAAGCAAGCTGAACGTGGTGTTCCAGAAACTAAAGATGTTCCCTGTAGGAGGGAGTGGTCTGTGGAACTATACACAAGTGAGAGGCCTAGCAGGAGAGGCTGGAAAATGCCCACTGGATTTAGCAACTTGGAGGTCTGGACAACATTCACTTGCACTGTTTCAGTGAGATGATGGTGGCAAGAGTCAAATTTGAGGTGCTTGAGGAAGGAACTGGAAGTGAAGAAATGAAAACACTGTATTCTCAGAAAGTGTGGTTTTGGAAGAAAAAAAAAACCAGCCCCAACCCTACTCTTCCTCAGTCTCTACTCTTAACTTGGTTTTGCCCCCAATAAGCTGAATTGATTTTATAGTTCGGTCTTCCTATGGTCTCGTGATAGCCATGGAACCAGCCAGCCATGGTAGAGTCCCCAGGGAAGGTTGCCCAGGACTTCGACGCTCTTCTGGCCCTCATACAACTTCTGATTCAGGCCTGGGGAGACCCCTTGAAAAATACTGCTGGAAGTGTAACAGATAACGAAGTGTGTTTTAGAGACACCTATGAAAATGTTAAGAGTGAATGGGCTCTTGGAAGAAGTCATCACTTGATCATTGGTTGAAGCTAGATGATGTGTATGTGTAGAATTTTATTATACTGTTCTCACTAATTTATGTATAAATTTTTCATAATAAACCTACCCACTCTGTAAAGTGATGCAGAATGGCCACTACAGCCTGCTCTGTGTCTAGCACTACCAACGGGATCAGCTTTAGGCCCAGCACACCCTGGTTGTAAGCTTCAAGGTGCCTGAGGTCAAAGAAAGTCAGCCCCCAGGTTATCAAATCTTCTCTCACTAATGCTGACAACCCACTCTTGCTTTCTTACCTCCCTCCTGAGTATGGAGCCCAAGTAACCTGTGTTACACACCATTCGTGACCCTGAACAGCTCCTTCTCCTCCCTGAACCTCTTTCTAAAAAGTAGGAGACACATCTGCTCAGCAGAGTTGTGAAGACTGATTTTGAGTAACCAGCGTAGCTCACGGCCTCAACAGCTCATGGAAGCCAGGAGGTAATAAAGTGAGTGGAGCTGAGGAGGTAGGAGAAAATCAGATGGCCCCTTGGCCTGTCTTTGGCTTTCCACTTTTAGTAGACATCTAGCTAGAAAGAATCATAGGGAAAAATGCATTCTCTATGAAAAATAACAATGCAAGTGTGATTGTCAGTAAAATAATCTCTTTAAATAAAGGGTACAAGACTGAGATGTAGCTTCAATGTTGGGGTCCTGGGGTGGCAAGGATTTGTGGGGATCAGAGCGCACAGTCCACATCTAAAAAGGTCCTTCCTCTCAGCACTAGCTGATGGCTGCCACCACGACGGAATGGAGCCAATGTTAACATGTCTCCTGTTTTACAAGAGACGCTAGAACTCTAAATTTTTAATGTGAAATCTCCCAATTCTAAAATTTGGTTCAATTATTTTTCTAAGAAAACACAGTAAAGGCCAAACTAAGCCCATCTGGAAGCCAAAATCAGCTCACCGGCTGGCAATGTGCAACTAGATAATGGGGTACAATATAGTTCCCCTCCCCCCTCTCTTTTGCTTCCCTCTCTTCGGTTCTCCCTCTCTCTCCTGACCACTCTGGCTTTTATTTCTATACTACGTTCAAGTGCAGAAAAGACAATGAGTTGAAGAAGCAATAGAGCCCAGGGGGTGTGGTCTAGATGCTTCTCTGTACCCCCCGGGCCTCAGTCAGCGTCTGGCAAGGAGTGGGTCCCGAGGCAGCTCTTGATGAATGAACAAGCCACACCTGGGGCAGCAGTTCAGCGTCTTCATAGGTGCTGGACTTATCTGAGGAACTGTCTCGTTGTTCTCGACAGCCTTACGAAGTCGCTCTGGCCGCTCCATCATCAACGGTAACTGGGCAATTGACCGACCCGGAAAATACGAGGGCGGAGGGACCATGTTCACCTACAAGCGTCCAAATGAGATTTCCAGCACCGCGGGAGAGTCCTTTTTGGCCGAAGGTCCTACTAATGAGATCTTGGATGTCTATGTGAGTTTGGGTGTTTCTGGACTGTTGTCTGGCGTTTGTATCTTGTTGCTTCTAAGGACCATACTTAGAACAACTAAGCAGCAAATGACTGCCATTGCTCCATAAAACCATTTGAGTGGAGCCTTTTGAGGTGCCCTTAAATGCTTGGCGTTCCTCTTGGCCATTCACCTCTAAATGTACCTAGTGCATAGAAACCTTAAACTCTACCAGATGTTTATTACCCTGAGAGTTTATTGACCCAGTAAAACCAATTTTACTCGTTGAACCAAATCAGAGACAAAACATGTCCTTTATTTCATGAACATTGGATCCCCTCCAGGCACTTTCCTCTTAATGCTAATTTGGCATGTTTTCTTTTTATGGCAAAAGAAAGCAAATGCTTGAAGAAAGCAAGACCATAGTTCTTAGCCCTCTTCAGAGTCTTAAAGCAGATGAAGAAAGAACTCCAGAGTACTCCAGATGACACAATAAAACGTGCAGTAAGATACAGAGAATTGCTAGAAGTTCCCTGCTTGACAGAAAACAAAACTTTGATTTATTTACAAGAAACTAAAATATTAAGTATCCCAAGAGCTTAAATTGATCTTTCATTTTAAAAGAAACTACTAGAATCCTGTCTTTTAAAAGATTCGGAAAAGGTGACAAGAAACAAGACTCAATTTGGTAAAAAGAGTGAGCTCAACCTCACGTGTCTGCTCTTTCACCGTCTCCAAAGCAGGCCGGTCTACATGACATTTGCTGTGTTAGAGCTTTGTAAGTATTACTTTTCTAGCTATAGGGTTACATGTCCATTTCTCTTGGGCCTAGTGGCTCATGGACTAGAAACTATAAAGGAACCCTTGTTCTAGTTAATTTTGAATATTTTTTTAGGCTGTCCAGTCAGTTGTTGGACTGTGGATAAGTTTCAAATGGCACTGGGGTAAAAACCCAGGTTTTTAAAGGCCCACTGTGGGTGATCCCAGATGTGGTGGCCAAAAATAATTTCATAACTGGGAATGTGGCAGTGTTCGCACAGAAGCAGCATGGGAGAGCACGGAGGGCTTCCAGGCTCAGATCGAATGTGGGGTTGTGTGAAAAAAGAAATGAGGGACTAAAGGGAACACACGGGAATCCGAGGTCATGCCTCTGATCCCCTTGGGGTTCAGCACATGGTTTCTGGGTGTAAAGAGCCCAGTGGTCCATCCTTATGCCTGCTTTTTGTTGTCTGAACTATAGAATGAAGTGCTACTCACAAGTGGGGAGCAGGTAAGAGATGATGGAGTAAACAGGCAAAACAGACACTCTCATGGCCCGTGTGCCAGGGTACTCAAGGACACTTATAGCTAAAAGAGCCTTCTTCTCTTTCTCCCCATGAAGAGATCAAATACTGTGAGATGAAGGGACTGCTGTAGGTCACAGAGCTCGCAGGACAGTCCCTTTGGAAGCAGTAGAAACGGAGCTATTAAAAAAATCCCCCTGCGGTGATTTGATGATGGGAAACCCGTGGGGATTACAATTGAGATGAAAAAAAAATGTGCAAAATGATGTAAAAATAAACTTTAAAAAAAAAAAAATCCCCCTGCCTGGCTCCCGTGGGCACGGCAGATTTCTGCTCCGCTGTTCCTTTCAGCCCACATACCTACCCCCACCTTCCCACCCGGAAAGGCATAGAAGGACACAAAGGATATTTGTGCTTCAAAGCCAGCAAGAAGGGGTTGTTTCTTCTGGGTCTCGCTGATTTATTCTGTGTCTTTGCAGCACATGGTGTTTCACTGTGACTCCCACAGCCCTGGGAAGCTCCCTGCTGTGGTCATTGATTCCCGCAAGACTGTGGTCCCGAGAGACTTCCTTCTCCTAGGCCTGTTTTCCTGAACCATCTCTTTGTGGTTCTCTAGCTCTCCTTGGATAAAAATGAGTGAGGAAGATAGTTGGGGCAGAGCTCTCCTGAGCCACAGGGCTCACAGGGCTCACATATCAGAGGACTTTGAAGAAATCCAAAGGACCCTGGGCTGCCCCTGCCAGAGGGCTGGCTGCTCTCTGACAACTCTCTTTCGCCACCTAGTGTCCAAACCTGTTCTCCCGGGGTGTAACCCTATGTTTCTGACCATCACAAAGCACTAAACCACCATGTGGGATGACTGGGAGCCATACAGAAGTTCTACTACCCTTGTTCCCATCATCCTATTTAGAATTTATCAAATCTTGACCTTCCATCTACTTTTTTCTGACTTCCTCAGAAACTAAGTACTTTGTTCTTCAAAAGCAAATAACAAAAAGCCATATGAAAATGCCGCCGTTTAATCTGTCGCAGGTTTTCTAATATCACTGATGTGCATCAACCCATTCATGGACAGATAGTAACATTTGTACCATGACATACGTTTCTACCACAGCCAGCAGGAAAGGGATGAGCGTGTGTGCCAGGGCAGTGACACTGACCTTTGTGTTGGCAGATGATACACCAGCAGCCCAACCCAGGAGTCCACTATGAGTATGTGATCATGGGGACCAATGCCATCAGTCCACAGGTGCCACCTCACAGGAGACCAGGTAATTCCTTGTTTTCTGGCAAACCCTCTGGGTCGTTTCCTTTTAAAGCCCCTGTCTCTTCTTGCGCACCTACTTTCTATCTCTCAGTCAACACAGAAAAAAAAATGCATGGACACACACGTGAGTCAGGGGGCCTTGTGACCAGAGGATGCTTCACAGTTGGGTGAGCCACACTAAGGGTATTTCATTCATCTGATTAAAAATGAAGTTCCTGGGCCCTCCTTGCTGGCACAACAGGTTAAAGCACAGCACCGCAAGGGCACTGTGGCATCTTCAGTGTGAGTTCGATCCCCAGCCCCGGAGGTGACCCACATGGTGCGGCAGACCTCTCCTGACCCGCCTGCTGCTCCCCTCAGTAGCGTACTTCCTCAGTCTGCCTGTTCTGCTCCCCACTCTGTCACTGGTGAATCCTTTCACCACCCCTGCACCTCTGGCCAGCACCCCAGTTCTGTATGCATAAATAAATAAATCTTAAAAAAAAACAAACTTAAGAAAATGAAGTTCCCATCTTGGGATAGTCTTCACAGTCCAACATCTTGTTGTTATGTTTCATTTTGTTTTTCTTTATTGAGATAATGCTAGTTTACAACACTTTATATGGCTGAAGGAAACAGGTTCACACCTCAGATGTATATTAACATACAGCCTCCACCAGTCAAGCTCCCATAGTCCTTTATGCTAAACCCCTGGGCTCCCTCCTCCCTTTGAGCCCACCTTCACCCTCCCTCCACCTCCAGTAGCCTTTACTCTGCATTCATATTTCTAAAGTTTGTTTTAATTAGTTTTGTCAGTTTCTTTGTTTTTTTTTCTCTATATTCCATCTGAGTGAAATCACCCAGCTTTTGCCTTTCTTCTTCTGATTTGATTTCACTTAGCATAATCTCCTTTACTTCCATCCACTTTGTTGCAAATGGCAAGGTTCGTCTTTTTTAGAACTGAGTAGTACCTTTTTACATATACACCATATATACCATATCTCATCATCTCCTTAATGCATCTGTCAATTGATAGGCATTTTGGTTGTTTCCATAATTTGGCTATTCTAAATAGGGGTGCATATTTCCCTTAGAATTAGTGGTTTTGCCTCCTTAGGGTAGATACCTCGGAGTGAAATTGCTGGATCACATGTCAGATCTATTTTTGACATTTTGAGAACCTTCTACACTCTTTTCCACAGTCTACATTCAACTGAAAGCATAGGAAGCTTTATTTTTCTCCACATCCTCACCAACATTTGCTGTTTCTGGTTTTCTTGACATGACCCATCCTCACTGGACATCGAGGTAGTATCTCATGGTGCTTTTGATTTGCATTTTCTTGGTGATAAATAATGTTGAACAGTGTTATACATTTTAGCTATTTATATGTCTTCTTTGGAGAAGTGTCTCTTTAGCTCTTCTGCCCACTTTTTTTTTATAAGATTTATTTATTTATGCATACAGAACTGGGGTACAGGCCAGAGGTGCAGGGATGATGAGAGGATTCACCAGAGACAGAGTGGGGAGCAGAACAGGCAGATTGTCGAAGTACACTGCTGAGGGGAGCAGCGCTGCCCACTTTTTTAATTGTATTCTTGTTTTCTTTTTGGGGAGTTATGTAAGTTCTTTTTCAATCTTGGATATCAACCCCTTGCTAGATGGTACTTTTTCCTACTCAGTGGGGTGTCTCTTTGTTTTAATGATAATTTCTCTGTACAGGTTTTAACTTGATGTAGTTCCATTCATTTATTTTGCTTTTGCTTTTGCTGTTGAATGCCCAAAGACATCACAGAAGCCAATGTCATGGAGTGGTTTGCCTATGTTTTCTTCTATGTATTTTATGGTTTCTGGTCTTACATCCATGTCTTTAACCCATTGGGAAAGACTGGTCTAGTTGCATTTATTTCTGTGTGTGCTGTTCAGGTGTCCCAACATCTTTGGTTGAAGAGACTTGCACATCCCATACCATGTACAACATGAGGAGGAATAAGGAATCTGTCATTACATGGAAAACTAGAAGTTCAGCTGTGTCCCTGTGTCCCTGGGCTTATCTTGGGAGGTCTGCTTCCAAATCCCACGCTGTGGCTCACTGAGGTCTGCTGAGGGCTCCTGCCAGCCTGGTTGTTTCCTGAGCCCACCCTGGAACTCAGTGGTATCTGCGCTGAGGTGTGCAGTGATGTACTGTGGTGGTCTCCCTTATAGAGCCTGTCCTGAAGCTCACTGAAGTCTGTGCCAGTGTTGTTGAGGGCTTTTATGATAGGTCTGCTTCTGGGCCCTGCCCCAGAACTCACCATCAACATAGACAGCTCATGAACACATATTTTGTATATGTATTATGTATTGTATTCTTAAAATAAACTAGAGAAAAAATATTATTAGGGAATCATAAATAGATCATAACAAAGATCTTCATCCTCCTCATCTTCACATTGAAGAAGGGGAAGGAAAGGGTTAAGAAAAGCCCTGTATAAGTGGACCATAGAGTTCAAAGGTCAACTGCATTCTGTTCATGTTTGTAGCTTCACTTAATTTAACTGGTACCACTGGTGAACATTTAAGTCTGTTGGTATGCTGAGAAGAAAAATCAAATATAGTACAAAATGAACAGCAGTGTAAAAAATTTTAAAGTTAAGTCAGTTGATGTGTTGCTATTTCAAATAATATTTTAATAGACACGCTTGTACATACTTATTCATGTAAAAGAATGAAAATAATTGTACCAAATTGCCCTAGAAACTTATATCTCTAAGTCAAAAAGGCTTTTAAAATTTGGATAGAGATTTCCAAATTGCCTTCCAAAATTTTCTCAACTATTTGCAGTTCAACCACTGTGTATAGAGTGTGTTTTCAACCAGGGTTAAGGACTGAAGGGTTTCCAAAGTTCCAAATCTTTCTTATTGGATCAATAGGGCCGATAGTGTTTTCTTGTTTTTAAAATGTAGTTCTTTAAAATGTGTGAAGGTAAGTATCTTCTGCATGATTCTACCTGTATTTCTCTTTGTTTGAATGAAAAAAAAAATCATTATCAGCTTTTCCTGCTGGGATGTTCATCTCTCTTTTATTCATCTTTAATAATGTTTTTAATATTAGGAAATTCAGTTTGGCTTATTTTAAATGTATGTATTATGAGTTAGAATTGATCTCATGCCACCCAATTTTCAGTATTAAAGTAATTTCCTCTTTAGGACTGGGAGTCTGAGGTCTTACTTCTGTGTGTTCTCTCACCTCTCCCAGGGGAGCCGGTCAACGGCCAGCTGGTGACAGAAGGGAGGAGCCAGGAGGAGGAAGGAGAGGAGAGGAGTGAGGAGAAAGAAGATGCGCTCAGAGGCACACCTGAAATTTTCACAGCAGAATCAGCCCAAACCTTCCCACTCAGGCCTCCAGATAGATTTTCTTCCCATCTACCAGATAATCTGGTGCCACCAGCACCACAGTCCCCTCGGCGAAGCCGGGACCACAACTGGAAGCAGCTGGGGACAACAGAATGTTCCACGACCTGCGGGAAAGGTGGGCACAGAGTCCACAGACCCCCACGAGGGGTGTGAGGGGAGACCTGAGGGGCATGGTGGGTCCTCGCCTCCACAGCCTGGCTGCAAGATGGCTCATTAACATGATGGTGTGTGGAAATAGGGGGAGGGTTCCCCAAGACTACCCTCTGGCTCAGTGGTCCTAGATGGACTTACCAGGGTCAGAAAGGCTGTTCTGCCCCTGCTTACAGTTTATTATCACATGTCGACTCAGCAGAGGCAAAAGGCACACGTGGCTAAGTCCAGGAGAAACCAACTGCCAGCTTCCTGGTATCGCCTTCCTCCACCCCCACCTTAGTCCCCCCAACAGGAGAGTTAGACAAGATGCACTTAATTCTCCCAGTGCTGATGTGTGATAACAGAGCCAAATGTTGCTAACTCAAGCTCATTCAAGGGGTTTCTTGGGGTTCAATCAGGTAGGCTTGCAGCCTGCACATAACTGAAATGAGCTACTCAGCCTTCAGCAACCAGACATCACACTGATACACTTCTGCCCCATCTCTGCTTGGTCCCACAAATATGTAGCCTTGTGTCTGGTCATGCAAAGTGTTCAGTGGGCACTCAAGTGTTTCATGAGTGAATGAATGACTGTATGTGCTGTAATCAACTATTAGAAGAAATATAGGGATGTTCTGACATCTTCACTACTATCCTGGATATGTAAGTCTGTATTGTTCAATGGAGGCATAAAGAATATGGACTTAGGTGTTGAAAACTGAAGAATGTTTTTTTTGCATTTCCATATTATTTAGTTTAATGCTCTAAGATAGTCTTTCTCCTTTGTAGTGTGGATACACAGCGCTCTCTTTCTCTCTCTCTCTCTCTCTCACTCACTCACTCACTTTTATTACATATGAGGTGAGGTTTGGGGTTCACATCCTCAGTTTCCATTTTAAATACTTACAGCTACACACACCAACAATGCGTGTAGACACATGTGCATACACACAGTATCTGCAGCTGAGCTCCCTTAGATGATATGTAAACACTCTTATTAATCCTGACAAACATAAATGGCACTGCTTCTCAAGCCAAAAGGATACTGAGGACATAACTTAGAAAAAATAGAAACTGCGATTATCTGGTTCTCTTACCTCTCCCTTCTCTTGTAATCTTGGGCCTTTATCCTTCTTCCATGTGACAAATGGCAGCAGCCCATGAACACCCTTCCTTTGCTCCCTCTAAGGTCTGCCATGGTGGCCTCAGACGTGCTAGGCCAGGTGAGTCCCATGTGGTTAGCTCATCTCAGGGTCGTCCGCCATATTGACCAGTGTGCTGTGACCAAGAAATTCCTGCTGGTATTGCCCAGCTCCTCTCTGTCTAATCTAGCCTACTCCTCTCACAACCTCAATATTTGTCCCCACACAAACTGTCTCCCAAATTCTGCTCTGGTCCTTCCTGATGGGGCTAGATAGACACATTTCTATGCCTCTTGCATTAAAATTTCCCATTTCTTCATGCTTAGGGATTCATGATGTCATTACAGAGAGGGGCCACTACTTTAGCCAACCATAGCACAGGCTCTCTCTAGCTGGTCATGATTGGCTCAGTTGATTCCTGAGTTCCTAGACTAGAATTATTAGTCTTATCGCCCTCCTTATGTTGTCCAGCTCTCCATAATGTCTCACCGATCTTTGCAATCCCCCCTGAATTCACTGATTACCTCCTTCAGTAGCGACAAATTACCTATGATGCTGCTCCCTCCTCCAACATGGTGTTCTTCTGCTTAGATCAACATGCCCAACATACAGCCCAACTCAAGAGATCCCAGACTTTTTCTCCTGTCTAAAGCCCAGCAAGCCAGATCTCACCTCACAATCCTGTGCTGGCCTATTAGCTAAACGCTGTTCCTATAAGAGGAGCGAGTGAGTGGCATGCTTGGGCAATGAAAAAGTGGCCTTTCTGCAGAAATGAAACTGATTTCAAGAAAGAAATTCCAGCACTGGAGTCCAGAATTACAAATTTGGTATTTTCTCGTCATCAGAGAGAAAGAGAAAGTTGTAATTTCATTACTCCCTTGGCTTAACGCTGGAGCTGGGCCACGGCTGGGTGGGGAAAGGCAGGCCGTGGCTTTGCGCAAACAACCCCAAGCAGAATGCATCTTCCCAAGGCTAGAACATTCCTAACCCAGACCCTTTTAACTAAAGAAATTAAATCTCCCTTCATTTGAGTGCCAACTGGTTGGAGTAGTTACTTTTGCTTTCCAGTCCACAAACTTATACATAGGAAAGTTAAACCCACATGGTCTAAAGGGAGACAGATCAGCTAAATTGTATTTTCACTTAATCCCTTCATATTTGGGTCCCTAATGGATACCCTTCATGCTGTGAGCTGGATTTCATTCATCTTTATAACTAGGCACAAAGTGTTTAATGTTTGCTGAATTTAATTTAAAGTCTCTTCTTCATGGAAACAGATCTGTCACTTGACAAAATTTAATTCCAGAGTTTTTGCTTCCAGTGAATTTTGCACTCTGTACTGCATTTTTACTCGGTGAATAATTATGCTTAACTGGAATGTTATTTTAAATAATGGTCTTAATTTATAGCTGACAATGTTCATTTTGACTGCCAGTGCAGTTTAAACAAATGATCATTTTAGATTCAGAGCTGTTTTACAAACTGTCAAATTTCTTGTAAGAACTACCCTCTGGCTCAGTGTGTCACACAAAATCAACTTAAAGATGCACTGAAACTGTTTGTGGCTGATGAAATATTGAGACAATTACATTAGAACTTATTCCTCCAGTTACAATTAAAACTGTAGCAACTTGGAGGTTCAGAAATGGTAACTGCCTGGCTATTTGTCAGTAGATCTGAGGCAGAGTGGTAGAATAATGATAGTGTTCTACCCACAGGTTGTGTGGCGGCCTCAAACGGCCCGCTACTGGAGAGGACAAGGGTGTAAGTCATTATTTGGGAAGGAGTATTTCCCCTTCGGACAGTTAACAGTTCTCACTTTGTGAACATCCATTAGCAGTACTTCGGTGAAGCCACCAGGGGGCAGCAGAGAGGAGCAGGCAGGATTAACTGCTTTTTTCCTACTGAGCTTAGAAAAGAAACTGTGGTGAGGGTCTACAGGTGATTTGATGGTAGGAATTTTACAGGGATGACACCTGCAGGGAGGAACCAAACATTGTATGAAAATGAACAATAATGTAATATAAATAAAAGAAAAAATAAATTGCACTTAGCAAATGCTGACATCTCCAAATCAGACATTACCCAATGAAACTCAAATGTATATTTAACACAAATGAGTAAACAAAAACTGGAGGAGGAATTGTGTTTTTTAACCAAGTAATCAAAGCCAGTATGCACTTGGCACACTTCTGTAGACCAGCTGCTACCTGTTAGGTTCCAGGCTGCCAGGGTAGACAAGAACCAGTCCTGTCCCTGAGAAATGCTGCTTCGCAAGCCTTTCTCAACCAAAATATCACATTCTAAGAGAAGTGTGTTAGATGATTTACAAAGGGCAAAACTGGCTGTCCTTCAAGCCTTTTCTTACTTATCTGCTCCAACCTCACTCTTTTAAGCATACCTGGAGCCTGCAGGTCAGCTTGCCATGCACCTCCATTCCAACGTAGCCTCCTGGGCACCCCACCCACCCAGGCTCAGCCCTTCCTCAAGGATGTGGCTTGACCCCCTTGGGCCCTTTCTGTTTCACTTCTCCCCTAACAATTACCTCTTGTTATCTTTAACTGCTATGAAAACTGTTCTTATCTGCTTTGAACACTTACAGACCTTATCCACAGGTTGACTGAAGTTCTTGAAGGACAAGCACCTTCCGGTGCCTTGCAAAACCCTTGCGTGGGAGGTGTGTGAGGAGTGAGTGTGTGAACTGTTCTGTCTCTGGGATCTTTCTTTGTCAGCACGAGAGCCAGTCCGTCTGCACTGTCGTCTGAGGTCAAGTGCGTGGAACTGCCCTTGACTCTCTCCTTGTCCTTGCAGGGTCACAGCACCCAATTTTTCGCTGTGTGCACAGAAACACTCATGAAGAGGTTCCCGAGAGCTACTGTGACTCCAGCACGAAGCCCACGCCTGAGGAGGAGGCCTGCAACATCTTCCCCTGTCCAGCCTTGTAAGCTGGTCCCCGTCGGGTCTCCCTCGCGGCTTGTGCACAGACTTAGTAGCAGATATAGCTTCGTTTTTAAATCAGCCTAGGTCTGCTATAGGAGCAAGAGGCTTGGCCTGTGCATTAAATGCCGTCTGTGTGGCCAGCACCCTTGTCTGTCTGGATTGAATTAAGAGCCCATGGCCTTAAGGAGGTTGGCCGCTCCCGGGAACACCACTTGTTGTTGATAAACTTGGAGCAATTAGGACTTAACCTGCTAAAGAAAACAAAGAATTGTCTTCTGGGGGGTCAGCACTGTCATTGCCCGTGGAGAGAATAAATCACAAGGACATCTGCCTGGGGATGCCAGGAAAGTGTCCCAGGAGACAATGGCATAGATCGGAATCTCCCAGAAGGGCAGAGCAAATGATCTGAAAAGCTGTTCTTTTTAATTTATTTATATATCATTCTTCATTTCGTGTCTTTTTCCATCTCAGTTGTAATCCCTGTGGGCTTCCCATCACCAGATCACCTGTGTACCATCATCATAGTCCCGTGCACTCCCCCCACCCCCATTTTTGATCCCATTCCCCATGCCACCCCCCGTAAACTGTCTTTGGTATATAGTTGTTCATTATTATTCCGCCCCCCCCTCCGGTCCTTTATGCTTCTGCTGTGAGTGAAGCCATCCGGTATTTTTCTTTATCTTCCTGGCTTATTCCACTAAGCATGATCCCTTCCAGCTCCATCCATGTTGCTTTTCAATGTAAGTGTCAGTATCTTAAAAAGAAAATTCTCATCCAAATACATAACAAGAGCATGCTGATGTCTCATTTAACTCAAGGCAGAGAGGATGGCAGAGGAAGGTGTGAAACGGATACACAATTAGTTGATGAAAGATAAAGAATACTGGAATAAAATTGCCAAGTGAATTCCAGAGTGGGTTAATTCTACAGGGTAATGAAAGAAACCGTGGGGGTGGGGGGGTTCACATGGAGGTGTACATACACATTTGTGTGAATAGATAAAAACCATTCGGAACTTCTCGGTTTTCTGTAGTTGACAGAATCTGGTCTCTCAGCAAGGATAAATGGCGTGTGGGACAATGTTTCCTTGCTTCTCAGCCCCAGGGCCCTGGGCACACTCGGGACTAGGGTCCGCCACCACCACTGTGCTAGTTCAAGGCGGCCGGCTCAGGTGCGTGTTTCTGCCGTGTTCCCTAACGTGCTCTGTCCTTCTCTCCTTCCTGAGCCAGCTGGGACATCGGGGAGTGGTCCGAGTGCAGCAAGACCTGTGGCCTGGGCATGCAGCATCGCCAGGTGCTGTGCCGCCAGGTGTACGCTAACCGCAGCCTGACGGTGCAGCCCCACCGCTGCCAGCACCTGGAGAAGCCCGAGACCACCAGCACCTGCCAGCTCAAGATCTGCAGTGAATGGCAGATCCGGACCGACTGGACCTCGGTACTGGGCAGGACAGCCAGGCGCCTCCCACCACCAAACCCTGCGGGCGGAGAACCTGAGCTCTCCAGGAGGGATTTCATCCTGGGGGGATTGGAGGGAGGCGGGTCTGGAAGGCTGTTTCTGCAAGCCATGGGGTGCCCCAGGCTTTGGGTGGTGTGAGTGGGTCGCCAGGGCCTGAGGGTGAACCCAGGGCAGTGGGGTGCATGTTGTCTCACCTTCCTCAGCTCTCCTGTGCGGTGAGGACCGGGCATTGCAGGCAGAGCTCCTAAACCCCCATTTTGCGCTCCCATTTTATAGATGCAGAACTGAGGGGCTGATATCCAAGGAAGTCTTTGAGGAAATGGTGGGGAAGCACTCAGGGAACCCATCAGGTGGCCTGGCACCGCCGGGGACCCTGCACCTGGGGTTGGGCTGGCCCCACCAGTGGCAGCTGGCAAGGCCCAGGGCACACACTGGAGAGTCCCTGCACTGGTGGCGTGCCTGACGTCCGCTCCTGTGTTCCAGTGCTCAGTGCCCTGTGGAGTGGGGCAGAGGACCCGAGACGTGAAGTGCGTGAGCAACCTCGGGGACGTGGTTGACGACGATGAGTGCAATATGAAACTCCGGCCGAACGACATTGAGAACTGCGACATGGGTCCCTGTGCCAAGAGCTGGTTCCTCACCGAGTGGAGTGAAAGGGTGAGGTGACAGCGGCAGGGCGGGTTTTGCAGAGCCAGGACCGGGGCGCTGGCCTGCAGGGCAGGGGCTGTCCGCACAGGGGGCCCCAAGCCACACAAGGATGCATCACTAGTCAAGAATCCCAAGGGCAACTGCTGAAACTGGGGGAAAGGCCCAGAGAGGAAAACCTACTATTAGGGTTTTTTTGTTTGTTTGTTTTGCATAGGAAGACTGAGGAACCCCAGAAGTAACAAGTGGGTGTGAAAGAATTGGGTAAATTCTCCCTAGCTCTGCTCATGAATACTGAATAATAAATACTCACTACAGAATAATTAGATCCCAGTTTTGCCTAATGCAGGCATCTATAATGGAGCTCAGCAAATGGCAGGCCCCTTCTCTGGTCTTACTAACCCAAAGCATTTCACTTACTGTCCCCCCTCCAGCAGTCTGGCCACCCGTGGGTCCATGGGGTCAGTTATCAAAGATGAACTCAAAGGCATTATAGTTCATAATTATCCCACCAGCCACCTGCCTTCCAGGGGAGCCAATAAAGAGTTAGCTCATCTAAGACAAAAGAAGCGTTTATATAAGGAGAGAGGGACTCCGAAGCTGCCTGGTGGGGAAGGGTCACACAGACAGAAACGGGTGAGGTCTGCTGCACTCAGCTTTACGGGCAGCAGTCTGGACTCCAGGTCAGCATCCACTCGCCCTGTGCCTCCCTTAGGCTGGCTTCTTCCCAACGGCTAATGTGCTGCCCATGACTGTCCACTCCCGGGACTTGGGGAGACGCAACTGTATTGATGCACTTAGTGCCACTGAATCATACACCTAAAACAATGAAAGTGGTAAATTTTACACTATGTATAGTATGCCATAATTGTTTAAAAGAACATTTAGGGAGAAATATTAGTCAAAGTTAGAAAGCATACCTGAAGCCGGGGCAGAAGTGGGGAAGGAGGGAGGAGATGATGAGCTTTGCCTTTCTTTTCTTGTGGAAACTGATGACCAGCTCACAGCAGAAAAAGGTGACCAGGCAGCTGGACTGGTCATTATAACAAGTTTCAGTTTTCTGGATTCTCTAGAAAGCCCTGGAAACTTAACTGGAATGTAGACACCATTGCTGTCTCTGTCCCGAGGGCCTCCCTCTCAGGCACCATTTCCCTCATTGGAAACCCGCGTGGTGTTTCCAAACTCTAATGTACCTGGGAACCTGGTGACAGTGCAGGGTGGTGGGATCAAGGGGGACAGGGAGATTCTGCATTTCTAGCAGGCTCCCACCTGGTGGCAGCACTGAGGCCTCTGGGCCAAAGAGAGGAAACCAGCTAAGTTCATGGAACCATAGAGGACATTGCTGAGCTAGTGAACTGTCCTCCCCCAGCATCATTTGAACAACAGTACAACATCTCAGGTTCAGAGGAACAAACTCTCAGGCATCAGCAGATTTGCACCCATGCCATTTTGATGGTTGAGTCCGATTGGTCAGCACCCATTTAACTGGTCAGTGCCCACCAGGGACAGTTGTCAGACCGTTCTCTGAACATCACCCCTGCAAGTGTTTCCAGGGGTCTCCATTCCCTCCACATTGCAAGATGGTCCTTGATTTCCTCTCCACACCATAATAATCCCTGCCTGTGCAGTGTTAGGGGGTGGAGGGAAAACATACCTGCAAGCACAGCCTTCATACTATCCTCAGAGGTCGCCTAACACTCTGCCTCGCCTTCATGCTGTTGTACCGTTGCACCCTACTGAGTCGGGGACTCTCAGTAGTGATTTATCTGTGACACTCAACACCTCATGATATCAGCCCTGCCCCTCAGCC